GTAAGTAGAGCATATATGTAGCAGAAGAAGAGAAATAATAAAGATTAAAACAGAAATCAATGAAATAGAAATAAAAAGAATAGGTTGATGAAACTAGGAGCTTGTTCTTTGAAAGAATTAATAAGATCAATAAACTCCTAGCCAGACTTATCAAAAAGAGAGAGAGAGAGAGGGAGAGAAAGGACCCAAATAAATAAAATCATGAATGAAAGGAAGAGCTCACAACCAACACTAAAGAAATACAATTATAAAAGAATGTTATAAGCAATTATATGCCAACAAATTAGGCAATCTGGAAGAAATCAATGCATTCCTAGAAACATGTAAACTACCAAAACTGAAACAGAAAGATATAGAAAACCTGAACAGATCCATAACCGGCAAAGAAATTGAGGCAACAATCAAGAATATCCCAACAAAGAAGAGTCCAGGACCAGATGGCTCCCTGGGGGAATTCTACCAAACATTTAAAAAAGAATTAATACCTATTCTTCTGAAACTATTTCAAAACATAGAAATGGAAGGAAAACTTCCAAACTCATCCTATGACACCAGCGTTACCTTGATCCCAAAACCAAAGACCTTACCAAAAAGGAGAATTACAGACCAATATCCTTGATGAACATGGATGCCAAAATTCTCACCATGATTCTAGCCAGTAAGATCTAAGAGAACTTCAAAAGATTATCCCACGACAACGTGGGATTTATTCCTGGGGTGCAAGAGTGGTTCAACATCTGCAAATCAATCAATGTGATACAACACATTAATGAAAGAAAGAACAAGAACCATATGATCTTCTCAATAGATGAAGAAAAAGCATTTGACAAAATACCGCATCCTTTCTGATCAAAACTCTTCATAGTGTAGGGACAGAGGGAACATACCTCAATATCATAAATGGCCTCTACGAAAAACCCACAGCGAATATCATTCTAAATGGGGAACAACTGAAAGCTTTTCCCCTAGGGTCGGGAACGTGGCAGGGATGTCCACTCTCACCAATGCTGTTCAACATAGTACTAGAAGTCCTAGACTTAGCAATCAAACAACAAAAAGAAATAAAAGGCATCCAAATAAGCAGAGAAGAAGTCAAACTCTCACTCTTCGCAAATGATATAATACTTTATGTGGAAAACCCAAAAGACTCCACTCCAAAAATTGCTGGCTCTCATACAGGAACTCAGCAAAGTGGCAGGATAGAAAATCAATGTACAAAAGTCAGTTGCATTTCTATATGCAACAGTGAAACAGAAGAAAAGTCAAGGAATGGATCCCATTTACAACTGCACCCAATAAGATACCTAGGAATAAACCTAACCAAAGAGCAAAGGATAAGTACTCTGAAAACTATATAACACTTATGAAGGAAACTGAGGAAGACACAAAGAAATGAAAAATCATTCCATGCTCCTGGATTGGAAGAACAAATATTGTTAAAATGTCTATGCTACCCAAAGCAATCTATACATTTACTGCAATCCCTATCAAAACACCATCAGCATTTTCCAGAGCTGGAATAAATAATCCTAAAATTTTTATTGAACCAGAAAAGACCCTGAATAGCCAGGTAATGTTGAAAAAGAAAACCAAAGCTGGTGGCTCCACAATTTTGGACTTCAGACTGTATCACAAAGCTGTAATCATGAAGACAGTATGGTATTGGCACAAATAAAGACGCGTAGATTAATGGAACAGAATAGAGAACCTGTAAATGGATCCTCAACTCTATTGTCAACTAATCTTTGACAAAGCAGGAAAGAATATCCAATGGATAAAAGACAGTCTCTTCAACAAATGGTGCTGGGGAAACTGGACAGCGACATGCAGAAGAATGAAACTGGATTTTCTTATATCATACACAAAAATAAACTCGAAGTGGATGAAAGACCTAAACACGAGACAGGAATCCATCAAAATCCTAGAGGAGAACACAGGCAGCAACCTCTTTGACCTTGGCCACAGCAACTTCTTGCTAGATACAACTCCTCTAGGGAAGGAAAAGGCAAGGGAAAGAAAAGCAAAGATGAAGGGGGACTTCATTTGGGAACTTCATCAAGATTGGGACTTCATCAAGATAAAAACTTTTGCCTAGCAAAGGACACAGTCAACAAAACCAAAGACAACCTACAGAATGGAAGAAGATAATTGCAAATGACATCAAATAAAGGGCTAGTATCCAAGATCCATAAGGAACTTATGAAACTCAATACCCCCAAAAACAAACAAACAAAATCCAGTCAAGAAATGGACAGAAGACATGAACAGACATTTCTCCAAAGAAGACATCCAAATGGCCAACAGACACATGAAAAAAATCTCAACAGGACTCAGCATCAGGGAAGTACAAATCAAAACCACAATAAGATACCCCTTCACACCAGTCAGAATAGCTAAAATTAACAACTCAGGTTGAGGAGACAATGCAGAGAAATGGGAACGCTTTTATGGTTGGGAATGGAAAATGGTGAAGCCACTCTGGAAAATAGTATGGAGGTTCCTCAAGAAGTTAAAAATAAAACTTCCCCTATGACCCTGCAATTGCACTATTCATTTACCCAAAGGATACAAATATATTGGTCTGAAGGGGCACCTGCACCCCAATGTTTATAACAGCATTGTCCACAATAGCCAAACTATAGAAACAGATGAATGGATAAAGAAGATATGGAATGGAATATTACTCAGCCATTCAAAAAATGAAATCTTGCCATTTGCAACAATGTGGATGGAACTAGAGGGTATTATGCTAAACAAAATAAATCGGTCAGAGAAAGACAATTATCATATAATTTCATTCATACATGGAATTTAAGAAACAAAACAGAATTATAGGGGAAGGGAGGGAAAAATAAAATAAGCTAAAAACAGAGAGGGAGGCAAACCATAAGAGACTTAACTATAGGAAAAAAACAGGGTTGCTGGAGGGGCAGGCGTGTGTGAGAGGATGGGGTAACTGGTGATGGGCATTGAGAAAGGCACATAATGTAATGAGCACTGGGTATTATATGCATCAGATGAATCACTGAACTCTCCCTCTGAAACTAATAATACACTCTATTAATTAATTGAATTTAAATAAAATAAAATTTTTAAAAATAACAATTTTGGGTGCCTGGGTGGCTCAGTGAGTTAAGCATCTCCCTTCGGCTCAGGTCATGATCACAGAGTCTTGGGATCAAGCCCCACATCTACAGGGAGTCTTCTTGTCTGTCTCCTCTCCCTCTGCCCCTCCGTTGGCTCATGCTTGCTCTCTCTCAAATATTTTTTAAATTTTTTTAAAATAACAGTGTTATTATTGCTGTCTGCAGATAGTTTACTCTGTTCAAGAGACTGCCACTAACAAAAACCGAAGTCTTTTTTTTTTCTTTTGTTTGAGATAGAGCACAAGCTTGGGGAGTGGCAGGAATCGCAGGCAGAGAAAAGCAGGCTCCCTACCGAGCAAGGAGCCTGAAGCGGGGCTCCATCCCGGGACCCTGAGATCATGACCTGAGCCGAAGGCAGACACTTTACTGACTGAGCCATCCAGGCATCCCAAGCCAGAAGTCTTTAAGATGATACAGACTTGAGGATGTTTTATGGCTATATGATAATGGCTCTAGGGGAGAGAGAGAAGCATCCCTAAGTGTAAGACTTTAGAATAGTCATTGGAACGGAAAAAATGAATTATCTGCGGATGCAGAAGTTTGCGGGCTTGGTGGTGGAAAGCTGACAGAGATGCGTCCCTTGGCTTCATGTGACATCAGAGGCAAGGTCACTAGTGGAGTCAGGGCAAGGTGAGGCTGTTGGAGGTTTGAGAATGGAAAAGTTTAAAATGGTCTTTACAAAGAGTGGAAAGAGTGACTCTTGAGCAGAGAAACACTGAAAGAGCAAAGACCGGACAGTGATCGACAGTGCACATGGGTTGCAGGTGAAGCATTTATGGTGATGCCAGTCAGCCTGCCTCGTGGTCAGGCTTTCTCCCCCTGCCCTTGGCTGCCTGGGTGGAGTACTCGGGGAACAGACAGTAGGTATATCCAGGGTTGGGAGTTTTACAAGACTGCTGGGACCAAAGAGCAGGGCCACGAGCCTTGCGGTGTTGACTAGGGCATGATTTAAATAATGGATCCAAAATCCTAGCCTCTCACAAAGCCATGAAAAGTACTGTTTGGAAGTCTTCTCTGAGTTAGTGAGGGCAGTGAGAGTGGGGGAGGCTGCTCTCCCACACCTCCCCAGCCTACTCACATTGGCAACCCAGAGTGAGTGCCTTGTTCGCAAGAAGAGCAGTTCTAGATGCTTTGGAGGAACAAAGGAAAGGAAGGAAGCAGCACAGACCAGCCCAGGTACACACACTCACACCCCTGATCCCAGGTCCACATACAGAGGTCTAAACATAAATAAAATTTCTAAATCCAAGCGAATATACTGTTAAGTAAAATACAATCCACCCTCCTGCCTTTATAGACGTACTTTCCCACTAGGCTGGAAGGCCACGTCTGAATTTAGAAGTCCCATGCTTCAGCGCTACAGGGAGACATGGCTCACAGCTGGGAGCCCACCCCTGCCCCAGCTCTGTCCCCCACTGCCTGGGGCATCCTGTACCTGTGTCTGACACCACAACCCACATGTCTAAGCTCCAGTCACAGCCCCAGGCCTAGGGGTATGCCCACCATGGTGTGGTCTGTGCTCAGAAGGGGGGACCTGGAGAAGAAGCCAACATGGGTTTCTGGAAGCAGCCTTGGGGTCCCTCAGTCTAAGAATTCTGGGGTCCTGTGTGCCTGGTCTAGATGGAAGAAGGAAGGGTGCTACCTCTGGAGAGCACAAGCCCCATAGGGGCACATGGAGTCCTTGTTTGGTGGAGAGGAGTAATTGGAGGAAGGCCAGGGCTGGGCCCTCTCAACTCTTGGGGCCAGGGAACCCTCCCTTGCCCAGGTCTGTGGGAAAAATTAAACAGTGCAATGGTATACAGTCTTCTGGTCTGACTGCCTGGTTTCTCTGTGTGTACGTGTTTTTTCTCCTAGTGGCCTGTTCATCACCATTCATGACAAGGGCCACCTTGCAACAATGCTGAACTCTTGGCCAGAAGATGATATTAAGGTATGATCCTGTTTTCTTTGTTACTGCTCTGTTCTTAGGTGAATCCTTTCAACCTGGACCAGTGTCATAGCCAGCTAGAAAATGAGCCATTGTGACATGGAGGGCAAGACACTGCCCCGCTTTCCCAGGCCCAGAGCCTGACAGGTTAGAGCCAGGCAGAAATGCATCACAGAGCAGAGGTTTCCGCCACCCACACCCAGGGGACATTGCCCTCATCATTGTTCTTGTTCATAGCAGTGTTCTGAAGATCCTGTTCAGCATGTATTGTGTACCTACTGTATATACAGTGCCAGCTTCCATGGCAGATACGGGAAAATCAGACAGACCTTCTTCTCAAGTAGCTGACTTTTCTGGGGAAAATAAGACAGAGACACAAAAGACTAACAAGGAACTTGGTCAGAGGTAAATGAAGCACACTGAGAGAGCTGAGGGTGTGCTCAAAAGGTAGAGATTACCTTCAGCCTCAGGGGAATCTAGGAAGACTCCATGAGGGAGGTGACATTGGAGCAGGGACCTTGAGTTGAGGGATAGAGTTTGACTGGATAAGGCTTTGGAGAGTGTAGGATATAGAGTGGGGACATTCTGCAAGAAGAGGCAAAGCTTATGGTGAACAGAACTTGCCCACCTTCGCCCACACAGAAGTGTGGGGGGGGGGACGGGGGACAGGTGGTAGTTGTATGCAGAGTGATGAAAGAAACCTGCCACTTCTGCCTGGAATACAAGCTGTACTCAAATACTCTAAGGAGAAAACATTTTTGTATAATAAGCAGGATTATTATAATATGCAAAGTATATATTCATTTTGAAATCTAAAAGCTGCAGCTCTGTAGAAACTTGTTAGCCTCTGGCTACATGCCCAGATCACCTCCTGCCACAGGGAACGTCTGTGGAAGAGTATGATGGGCTTTCACGTCTACGATCATCGTTGCCTCTGCAAATGACGGGCGCAAAAATGCAAAACACCTGCTAGCTGCCTGGCAAGGGCATTTCTGGCACACGAGCTGGGGAAGGGTTGGAGCTGATGGGAGGCAGAGGCCCTCCATCATGGCTTCCTCCCCAGGCTCTCCCTCCCGTTCCTGCCAGTTTCCTCAGTTACCCCCGTCTCCCTCCGCTAGGTGCTGAGCTCAGCTTCTCCCTACACACCTCTGGCCATCTAGGGAGTGGCAGCATTCGGAGCCAGAACAGGAAAGGCAGAAGCTTGGCTCTTAAGAGCCGGGCTCAAGCCACTGCCCGGGCCGTGGCCTTTAGGGCTGCAGTGAAGAGCTCATTTCGTACATCTCTGTCTGAGTGTGGGCTTTTCTGCTCTGCTTATCTGCTCAGACTCCGGAATGTGCAGGCCTGGGCCTTGCGGGTGTTGGTCTCAGTCCCAGAAGAAGCAAGGGCATGTCAAAGATGAAGCTCTAATAAAATCTTAAGCACATTCAGGGAAACCGGCTCACTGGACAGATAGGCAACTCCAGCCTGCCCTGTGCAGACAGGCTGCTGAGGCCGTATGGACTGATCCGGACTCCCGCCTGGGCTGCTCACCCACGGTGAAAGCTTGTGCAGAGTGGGCACGCAGTAGGCGTCCAAGGAGCCTGAAACCAGGGAGCAGCCGTGAGGAGCATCTCCGAGGCCACAGGCACTGAGCCCGGAGCAGGGGCGTGCAGCCCCCACCAACACATGCACGCCTTTGCACAAACCTACGAGTTGTTGAAGAGAAAGACAGGAAGCCGGTGCCTCTTAACCGGTAGGAAGCAGGTGCTCCTTTCTCCGGGCTGGCACAGAGGCTCGGTGAGGGGCTCATGGGCTGGATTTCAGGCTCTAGTTGCTCCTTTGGTCAGGGCACAACTCACAAAATATTTGCTGCCTGACTTCAACACACGTAGTTTGAGAACCTTCTACATAGTGAGTGTTAAGTACCAATTAGCTGGAGACAGCCACTTTTTTAATTTCAGAGGAAGAACAATGGAGCTTTAGGTCATCGCAGAGCAGGAGGGACTGGAGCAGGCCTCAGACAGAGAGAGGTGTCTGAAGCCTCTCGGGAAAACAGAGCTTCCATGGGCACATCTGGACCAATGCATCTAATTCCCTTACCCTCCACACTTTTTGAGTAAACATCTGTAGGATTTCCCTGTAGTTCTCAAAATCAAGAAGGTGTACAGGCCCAAAGTCTGGTGGGAGTGACTGACCCGGAAACACTTGCATAGACTGTGTCTGTGATGCCCAAGAGAGGAGCCCAGAGGCAGGGAGCTAGCATCCTGACAACTGGCTGGCCTCTACCCCTGCAGGAGCTGAGAGCAGACAAGGGAATGCCTGGGGCTGCCTCCTCCCCTCCGCCCTTTATTTCTATCTCCCTTTGGAGAGACCCTGAGATCAGTCCCTGGTAACTATATAGACGACCCAGCTCTGGCTTTGCAGTCAGACATCGGGAATCTTCCATTTGCTGGATGTGCAGATAACCTCTCTGGTCTTTGTTCTGTTATGGTGAGGACGAACTATGAAGTCTGTACAATACTGGAAGGCACTCGAATGGGCCTTGTCCTTGCTGGAGGTGGAAGGGACGGCTCTGGCACATGCAGCCATGCAGGGCAGAGAGAGTAGACGCCCAAGAGCAGCCCAGGAGGAGGCCCTCTTACCTGGGAATCACGGGCCACCAAGGGGCAGCCAATGAGGCCCCTAGACACGTTTGACTTGGCCCTCGGTTATTTTTGAAAATTTTGAATTTGTAAGCAATATTTTAAAATCTGGAGACTTCATTTAGAAAAAGAAACATACAAACTTGGATTTATGGCTTTCTCTAGAAAAACCAGGAGCTCATAGTTTGGCTAAATAGTGGGCCCGTAATTGGGCACGTAAATAAGACAGGGCTGCTCAGGCACCTCCCCCCACCCCCAGCTTACCCGAGTCTCCCACCTGCCCCGTCCACTCCCTTTTCTAGAGGGTCCTTTCTCCTCACCCCTAAGGCTGCCCTTTCAAAGGTTCAGAATGTTCTAAGCCCTAGTCTTTCTTGTTTGTTGTGTGTTACCTCCAATTGCCCTAAAAAGAGATGAAGGTCTCCCTCCCCAGGCAGGGAATCCCCTTCAGGGTACTTTGGAGTTGGTGTGGATTCCCTCTCATTGTATCCTTCGGTTCTCACAATCCTTGAGATCAGAGTGGAGAAGGAAGGGGTGCAGTTGACACCCCCAAAGTGGGTCCTGAAGGACGGGTAGGGGTGTGTCGTTTCTCAGGTGAGCGAGCTGAGGTCCGTGACTTGCCCACAGTCATCCTTGAGTAGGAGTTGACACCCCCAGAGCCCTATAGCTGAGCCACCCTCTCCCCAGCTGCTGAGTCGAGGAGGCGGTTTTCCAGGGCACGGGTATCTTTACACCCTGATGGCGGCAGCCTCTTGGCTGGAAGGAAGGAATGGTTCAGAGGAGCTTCTGAACCAACTCAGAAGATAAAGGGTGACTTCCCGTGGTTTCCCAGCCAGAAGGCAGAACTGCAAACCGCGGTATCGGAGAAGCAGGCTGGGAGGGAGGTGAGGCCAAAGCCCAGGGCTAGGGGACCACGAAGTTTTGCAGGCCGCTCTTGTTCAGGGGGGAGGGGGTGGGCCAGGCCGCCCGGAGAGCTGTCCGGCATAAATCACGGATGGAGAGAAGTGAGAACTGCTTTTCTGACTCTTTCCCACAGTGGACACTGCCTCAAGCCTGAGGAAGACTGAGCTGAGAACAGCTCTCCTCCCCACAGCTTTCCCAGTCTCCTAAATCTCTCCCTCACCCCAGGCCCAGCAGCAGTTTCCGGGGGAGGTGCTGAGAGACAGCTGGATGGGGGGTGGGGGTTGGGAGCAGCCTCTGGGGTTGAGCACCAGCCAAGTGGGCATCCCAACTTGGACCAGGTGCTGGTGCCAGGTGCCTGCCTGCTATGCCCAGGCCCACCATGTGACAAACCCACTCTGTCCTCGGGGTCAGAAGGGGGGTGTCCCTGGAAACATTCTCTGAGATGGATGTTAGTCTATCAGGGATCAGTACCTCTAGAGGGGAGAGAAACAGGAGAAAGCCAAGGGAGAGGTTGGGCAGAGTGAAGCCTTAAGGAAGACTCAGCTGAGCCCATGAGGAGCCTCTGGAGTTAGGGTGGCCCTTAGTCAGGACAGGGGAGCCGGGCCTTATAGCCCTGCATCCATCAGTCATTGGTTGTGGGCGGGTGCCCTTCAGAACTGGGTGTGACTTGGGCAAAGTGGCTCTCTTCGGTCAAGGAAATTCACAGAGTGGGCTGACCCCTGAGGCTCAGCTGAGGGAATGACTCCTTGGGTTCTGAAAGAGAGATGTGGGGGCACATCTTCATATCCTCCACAAGCAGCATCTTCTAAGTGCTTTACGTAAGTGACTTCATCAACTTCTAATGACCTGTAAGTGGAGGGGATTATTATTACCCCCATTTTACAGATAAAGATGCTGGCTGTTTGCTTATGGAGGGTGGAACCAAGATTTGAAATTGCAGACTGTGTGTTATGTCGTGGAGAGAGAGAGCAAGAGAGAAGAGGAAGGGGAGGAAAAAAGGAATGATGAGAGGGCGGGAGGAAATGAGGTCTATGGAGAGCCCATGACACATCTACAAGTCCAGGGGCTAGAAACTGGGGCTAGAGCAAGAAAGGTCAGTCTCGGGTCATCCCCATTGGGTCCACCTAAGCTAAGGGACATGGGCAATAAGTCAGAAAAAGCTGTAGGTCCAAGCTAGGTGGACAGAGCAAGAATGGGCCCAACTTCCCCCTTAGTCATCTGAGATACAGAGAAGGTATGAGTCTCAGATGCCATCCAAACAAGAAAACGCTGATCCTGCAGTTCACTGATAGTTACTTCTGGACTCTAAAACCCACCGTGCTCAGGCTTGTCATCAGATTTTGACCTCTACTGTACTAGTGGCCCTTGGCTTCCAACTCCATTGATGTCATGAAAAATAGGACCCATCATCTTCTCCCTGAAGTTGTTCATTCACACCAGGTTTGAAGCAGTCCCATGGAGAGCCTCTGTTCTCCATGTTGGATCCACACTGGCCACCATTTATCCAGTTCCTCTCACACTGCAGGCAACATGCTAAGCACCTGAAGAACCAAAGATGACAAGAACCTTTACTTGCCCATAAGAGCTTAGAACTCCTATGAAAGATGAGGTTCTCATCTAACTATAATACAAGCAAGAAAGTGATAAGTGCTCTGGAGAGAAAAATGCCATGGGAACTCAGAGGAAGGAGTGACAACTTCTGGAAAGGGAGCAGCACGGAGGAAGGTGACTTCCATACTGTTCCTGGAAGCACACAAGGATGGTAGGATTCGGATCAGGAAGATCATAGGGATTGAGGGGTAAAATGGCATGTAGTCGGGAAAGTACAAACCTTCTACAAGGTTGGAATTATTTTATTTGGATAAAGAAGAAATTCAAAAAGCAGATGACCTAGACCGCAGAAGGCCTTAACCACCAGTTGAAGATGTTTAAGCTTTATTTCATAGGCATTGAGAGCTATTGGAGGTTTGGGGTAAGGAAATGACAAAGCTGGGTGTGCTTTGGAAAATGAAATGGACCAAGGGGAAATCCAAGAGTGGAGAGACCCATCAGGAGACCATTGCAGTGGTCAGATGAGATGGATGGGCGCACCCAAGGCAATGACAATGCATGGAACAAATAGAAAAGTAAGGAGCAGATTGACTCAGCAGAATTTGGTGACCAGTTGGCTGTGGTTGACGAATGACAGAGAGGAGTTGTAACAGGACAGTGTTGAGCTTGGGAGATACAAGGTAACAGAGGGAGGGAGGACAGCAGAAGTGAAAGGTTTAGAAGAATAAAGGGAGGGACGCCTAGGTGGCTCAGTCGGTTAAGCTGCTGCCTTTGGCTCAGGTCATGATCCCAGGGTCCTGGGATAGAGTCCTGCATCGGGCTCCTTGCTTGGCAGGGAGCCTGCTTCTCTCTCTGCCTCTGCCTATTTGTGCTCTCTCTCTCTCTCTCTGACTAATAAATAAATAAAATCTTTTAAAATTTTTGATTAAAAAACTAAAAATAAAAAGAATAAAGGGAAAAGCAGATTCATTTGGTTAGGGACTCAGGAATTTGGGAGGACTATTGGACATTCAAGTGGCAATGTGCACTTCGAGAGGACAGTGGAAGCCCCAAGACTTGCATGGCTGACTTTCTGGGCCATTGGCCATGATCTGGGCCATGATCTCCTCTTGGTTCCATTTCATTCACTGATTTAACAGATGCTTATGGCATGCCCTTCTTGTGGTAATGCTGAACTAGAGAGATGATAAAATAACTAAAAATCCAATATAGGATCTTTGTCCCAAATTATAACCATTGTTATCATCAAAAGAGCAGCAACCATTCACTGATCACTTACTAAAGGCACCTGGTTAAAATGAGACTCATATTACTTCATCGTTACAAAAATATGATGAGTTAGGTCTGATTACCCACCATTTTGTGGAAAATTAAAACTCAGAAAAATGATCTGTTTAGCCAAGATTACATATGGTGCATTATCGAGAAGCCTAAATTTAAATACTGGTTATCAGACTCCAGGACCCCTGCCATTAACCTTTGGGTTGTTGGGTGAGATAAAATGTGCATTTTTAAAAATGTTAAATAAGAACCCAAACGTTTATGCGGCACCTGGTGCAGGCTTGGCAGCGGTGGGCATCCCGTCGATGTTGGTGGCAGGCAGGCGTTCAAGAGGGACAAGCAGGCCAGCTGCATGGCAGCCGTAAGTGCTAGGGGAGACCACAATAGATTGCAATGGGCAGGCTTTGCATGCAGGAGAAAGAGAAGGACCTTCTAGCAGAGAGGACTTGGGCCGAGAAGGAGGAGATCATATGTGAGTTCAGAGTATGTCTGGGAGGTGTGAGGAGGCCAGTTTGGCTGGCGTAGGTACTTGTGTGCAGATGAGTAGCCAGAGATAAGTCAGGACATATCCTGGGCTCCGATCATTAAGACGTTAAATGTTTTGGACTCTATTCTATGGACAGTTCGAAGTCACTCAAGGTCTTTGAGCCTGGGAACAGAGTAATGAAAATGGGCTTCTGACACAATGTATGTGACATTGGTTGGCAGGAGAGACTGGAAGGAGGAAAGATGAGTTTGGGGGTGAAGCTGTTGTAATAACCCAGCCACCAGCTCCGTGCAATGGAGAGAGGGCAGCAGCAGAAGTGAGGTGGCGGCCGTGCAGGAGAGGGCCCTTGCCCAGTTCAGGCTGGGAGGCAGCCCTGCAGATCCCAGTCACCATCTGGAAAGGCCCCAGAGTTGTAGGGATAAATCCCTGGAGTAGGAGCTACCGCACCTCTGGTTAATGCCCTGCCCCTCAATGGAGAGAAATTCTGAGAGGATGGGAATCGAATATGGAAGCTTTGATCAGGAGAGGTGGTAGAGAAATGCCCCGAGTCTGGGCAGCATGAAGTAACAGGCTCCCCCAGGGGTGGGAGGGTCAGAGGCAAGCTGTGGAAAGGGTCACACAGAGACAGTGCAGAACTTGACCAAGAGCACAGGTGCTTTAACCTGGTTGCCATGGTGGTAGACGGAGGTTAGAATCCTGATCTGCCTTGTGCACAAGCAAGGTGACTGTGGTAGGCCATCTAATCTTGCTAAGATACCTAATGTGGAAACAGCCAGTCCAGTGCCTGGCATCTGGCTGATACGTAACATATGTATCAAGTATCTTAGAGCTTCTGTTTGCTCACCTGTGAGATGGCGATAAGAGTCCCAGACTCACCTACCTGCCAGGGCCGTGGGGAGAATCAGGTGCGTGCAGGTTGAGAACATTCCCCATAGAGGCAGTGGATCAGTCTGAGGGGGACAATCATGATGGTCGTGGGTCTCTTGTCCCTCCTCCCCAAGTCCCCTTTCCAGAAGCAGAGGAGTGTTTGTAAGAATCTCTGTACTTAATTGCTACCAAAAGGCAGCACCAGCCTTTGCGTGCCCTTATCCTTAGAGAGCTGGAGAATAGAAGTGCTTAAGATGCCATGGGCCTTTTGGGCACTGGATCATAAACTCTCCCAGGGCAAGAATGGGTCTTCATGTCTTTATTCTCAGAGCTCAGTGTGGCACCTGCATTGGATTGAGCTGAGCCCCATGATGCCCGGAATCACCACATGTGGGGCTCCGGGACATCCATCCCTCAGCTCCTCCTAAGCCCTGGTCAGAGCCAGGCTCCAGTGGAGGGAGGGGTGGCCCCATAAACGTCTCATTTCAAGATGGAGGAAGGCAATGATGGTGAGTGGGTTGAGGTGACCTATGAACAACTTCACTGTCACCCGGGGGCATCTCTGTGGTCTCACTTTCAAGACCCTTCACGGTTTGACTCCTGCCTGACTTCCTGTTCTCTCCTTTCATGTGACCAGCATCTCCTTGTTCCCCACACAACACCCACACCCTCCCCGCCGCTATCCTGCCTCTGAATTTCCTTTCGTATCAAGCTCCTTCCTCCGCACTGTACCCCCTGTCCAAGGGGTGGCACATGGGTCCTCTCTCCCTTACAAAAGGTTACCCTACAGGTAGTAACTCTCCCTTCTCTCAGTCCCACTGCCCTTGTGCTGCTCCGTACCCTCAGTCTCCCCCCAGAGTCATTAATTCAAAGTAGGCATGTTTCATCTCTTTTTTTGCCCCTTAGTCCTTTAAGGCCTGAATCCATACAGATTTGTGATTACAGATGAGCAGAGGATCTGGCCTCGTGTCTGCCAAGTAGCTGCTTCATAAATATGTAGTGAAGGAATGAGTAAATGAATATCTGTCAAAATCGTAGTAATTTCTACCACCGTCAGCCTCACCGGCATCTGTTAGCAAGTAAGCCCAAGCTAGCACATAGTATGCCTCCAGCGATTATTTGCCAGATCACAGTGGTAACCCCAGGACAGCCTGAGATCCCTCCGGGGTTCATAGGAAGCAGTGACCCCAGCAGCTGCCACAAGAGCCCTGCCCTTTGCAGGCTGGACTTGCTGTACCCCAGGAGCCTCGAAACCCTGGGCCTGTGTTTGCAGCATGAACACTCGTCCCTCATGGTCTCCTTTCAATATGTCCCTGTGCCCAGATCTCGAGCTGGGAATATTTGCTTAGTTTCATGGAGGGGGAGTGACCAGATATGGTTTCCCTCCAGCTGTTTCTGCAGCCCCCACCCTAAACCTCCGAATGGGGGGAAGGTGTCCGCCCAGCTCAGTGGGGCTTCTCACCAGCCCTCCAGGGTTGAGGACAGGGAGAAGGACTGCCACCTGCCATGGACTGAATCCCTTGGCCCTTATCCTGACCAGCCTTCCATCCCCCAGCCAAGGAGGTGGGCGCCTAGTTGTCAGGCCTGATGGGAGGAGTGACAAAACGAGCACTTTGTCACGAGAGGCATTTCCCTGATTGTTTCCAGGCTGTGGTGGTGACCGACGGCGAGCGCATCCTGGGCCTGGGAGATCTGGGCTGCTACGGCATGGGCATCCCCGTGGGCAAGCTGGCGCTGTACACGGCGTGCGGAGGGGTCAGCCCACAGCAGTGCCTCCCCGTCCTGCTGGATGTGGGCACCAACAATGAGGTAATGCACTGCCCAGGCCCGGAGCCCTGGGGCCAGAAGCTGATGGCTGGAGGTGGGGTGGGGGAGGCACTTTTGAGGGACAGTTATATCGACACAGCGTTGGGACATTTCTTTCCTGGGTCCCCCTCGCCAATGCCCTTCCCTTTGGCTGAGAGGTAGGGACCTTTCTCCTCCCTGCCTTGGCCCAGCCCATTCCTTTTCCCCCAACTACTGGGTCTCCTGGCTCTCCTCCCTCCTCAAGGCCCTCTGTGCCCTCCTTGACCCCAGCTTGGGCCTTGTTTGCTTGCCCACTCTGTGGCCCTGTGTGGCCTCTCTCTCTGATTCACTAGTGAAGAGGGTCCCTTGATCCAGGTGACAGAGGCTGCTAGGCGGTATTTTTCCAGCATTGTAGAGGTAGACTGCCTCAATTAAAGAATTAAGGCTCAAAGCACCAGGGCCAGGGGCTGAAATAGCTCAATCAGTCAGGTTGGTCTTGCAGGCCCAGGGAGAGAAGGTGCCCCAAGCTGTGGGTGAGATCCTCCTACAGATTCCACATGGTTTGGGATTTAAGGAGCTCAAACCACAGGCAAGAGTTTGCTCCTCCAGGTACCATCCTGGGCCATGGGGTTTGTGCATGTCTGCAGGCTCTGCTCTGGGTCTCTGTGTCAGGGGAGACAAAACACTGCCCAAGAGTTCCTTCTTAATGATGTGCATCTCTGAGTTTAAAGTTGGTGCAAATTCATCTTTTTTAAAATGGGAAAAAAAATTGAGAAAATCAGAGAAGTGTTAAAAATATCAGTTATACACCAGTACCAATCATGCTTTCCATTTTGATATATTTCCTTGCAGCCTTTCCCACCCCCCCAAACATTTATAAAACCAAAATAGGGTTTATATTGAATATATAGCTTTGTATATGCTTTTTGAAACTTTATATGTATGGAATTTTCTCCCAGGTCATTAGCCATTACTGCACAATGTCAGCTCCCTGGTGTGTCATAGTTTACGAAGGAAAGCTCCCACAGCTGGATACTCAGGTTGCTTCTTGCCTTTTTGCAAATACAATCTTTACTCTGAGCCCATGTTTGCACATCAGTCTTTGTTTCCGTGTGTGATCATGTACTTAGGATGATTTCCTAGAAGCAGAAATGCTGAAGCAAAGGGAGTGGTCACTTTTTAGATTCTTGACTCACATTTGTTGAAAAGGTTATCTTATTCGCATTCTGCAGTGATCTTTCTCAAGACACTTGCCGTGTCTCTGCGTGGCCATCCCCCTATTTCTAAACAAGAGTGAGCACTGTGGCTCCTCGGGTGGAATGATGCTTATGCGGGCTTTAGCCACAGATGCCATCAAGTGAGAGGACAGCCAGGCACACGTCACTTAAGAGCTGGGAAATCCTAAGGGGTGGGAGTGGGGTGAGAGAGGACAAGGGGAGGGGGAGAAGGACTGCCCTGGGAAGTGGGACCCTGGTCCTGACAGTACGGGCAGCCAGGTGAGTCCCCACACCTATTCAGACTTGATCTCCTCATGGTACAACGAGGAACTGAACCAGAAGTTTTCTGAGGGTTTCTGCCTCTAAAGCTCTTCTCCATATGCCTCCCCTCCAGCCTAGGAGACAGAAAGCAGGGTGGCAAGAGCAGTCTTCAAGGTCTGCTGTGTGCTGTGGTTCTCTTCCCTAGACCGGATGCCTGGGTCCTGCTGAAATGGTCCCTCGGTCACAACATGCACTGAATCATGCCAGCGAGGATGAGGGTAGTGAATTTTGTTTTGATTGTTCCTCTCATCCAGGTCCTCTTGCTGTATTCCTCCTGGATTTAATAGAGACCTTGACTCACTCATTCCTAAAAGCTGGCTCCAAGCAAGACTGAGTCTGAGGCTAAGGCCACTGTATCCCCTGGAAGGGCGTGGGTTGCCTCTAGCAGATGCCTAAGACCCCGTGTCGTTGAAGGTCTAACACTGCAATGATGTGCTGACCTGAGAGCTAGCCCCAACTTGTAATAAAGCCACACGAAGACAGGCAGGAAGCACAGAGTAAGTCATGGCCAGACACTTTTCACAGGCCATACCCTGTTTAAGCTTGACAACTCCAAGAAATGAATTTGCCCAAAAAGATCTGCCAGGAGTGGCAGGGCCGTGATCCTCGTCTCTGCCCTCCTCTGCCCACACCACACCTGACTGCCTGAGTGCCTGCGGCTTCAGAAGTAAAGGTCATTTCATGATTTTTAGAATTTTTGCTACTAAAGTAACCCAAACGCATTATTCAGAATCTTGAAAGGAAAGGGAAATGGCATCTCTCCCACCATGATCCGTCCGTGTTCCTTTCCAATATTCATCTATGCATCAACATAGATGGAGTAATGTGCCTGTATTTTTGTTCTCGGTTTTTTTTTTTTTGATTAATGTTATTTTATGAACATTTTTTATTTATTTAGCAAAAGTTCACTGAATGTTTAGTAGGTGTCAGGCACTCTGCCTGGCATGAGGGAAATACGCGAGAGCCAGGGCGTGGGCAGGATATTCTAGTCATCAGTGTTTCAATGCCAGCACCTGACTGACCACTTTTAATGGCTAACATGTTCCTTCTTCTCCCCATGTCTGCTTCTCCCCCTGGGGCTTTGGGCCTCTGAATCACTTCTCCCTCCTGGGTGTGGAAGGGAGAGCACTTTCCCTGGGGCTGCCCCCTCCTGTCAGGAAGGACCACAGTAGTCCCCAGCTGAGAGCAGGCACACGCGCCCCAGGGCAGGGGAGAGAAAGCAGCTCCCAGCACTGCAGTGTGCCAGGCCTAGCTCGAGGCCGTTGTGGATTTGAATCTCATTTCACTCTCCCCGCAGCTGTGTGAGATGAGGAAACCAAGACCCACACACGTGAGCTATACACCTCAGGCCCCCCAGTGCTGTGTCAGAGCCAGGGTTGGAACCCGCTCTCTGGCTCTGGAGCTCCCTTGTCCACCATGGCTCACAGCTTCAAGGGGTTAGGTGTTTTGTGTTATAGACTTGGTGTTGAAGACCAGAAAAGGAGGTGCAGGCAGGGGCCCCATGCATGCACAGGCCCAGGGGTTACCGATGCCATGAGCACAATCCTCCTGCCCCAAAGAAAGGCAAACTCCCACCGGACCCTCTTCACAAAATTCAAGACACAAAAATCCAGAGTTACAAAGTGGCCAATGTTGGGAAGATGGTCATTGCGTTCTTGTTCAAATGCAGTTACCATGTGATCTCCCACACTATAGTTTTGTGTTGTTGTTTTTTTTTTAACTGAGTCCATTTGCAAGATTTCCTCCTCCCTGGAAGTCTTGGGGTGTCTCTCCCTCAGAGTAAGCCAGAGCGATAGGAGAGAGACGCTTAACCTCTCATCCAGGTGTCCATACAGGGAGGGTGCTGTTTGAGGAGCTATGGTGTCAGGATAACTAGACTGTCTGTATGTGTGTGTGTCTCTGTGAAAACGCCTGAGGCTACAGGAGCTCTGAACAGAGTCAAGGACAACAGCCCTTGATGTTTCCTATTGAAGGAAAACATCTGCTCTCCACCGCCCTGAAATTCTGAGTCACTCTTACATGCCGACCCCAAGGAAGTTTGGAAAAATAAATATGTGGGGCAGCGAGCCCATGAAAAGGGGCTATCCCATGATTAAGTTCTAAAGGGACAAAGTCAGGGAGTCCCCCACCACCAGATAAGCCCGCCAGCTGGCGGCCTCGGTGGCTGTGCATGGATTGATTTATATCTTTTCTTTCATCCACATGCAGCCAGATAGTGTCACAGGCTGCCCACATTTGAAGGGGTCTGAGCTACAGTTGACCCTTCACCAACACAGTAATGAGGAGTGCTGACCCACACGCAGCTGAAAATCCATGTATGACTTTCCAGTCCCCAGAGCTTAACTACTAATAGCCTACTGTGGACTGGAAGCCTTACCGATGCCATACATAGCCAGTTAGCCCATATCATGTGTGCTGTATGTATGATGTGTGTTGTACAGTATGTATATACTGTACCATTACCATGAAGTAAGCTGGAGAAAAGCAAGTGTTATTAAGAAAATCACAAGAGAAAAAACATTTACAGCACTGTACTCTATTGATTGGGAGAAATCCACAGATGAGTGGACAAGTGCCACTCAAAGCTGTTGTTCAAGGATCAGATGTGCTTCTCATAAAACCCCTCATTTCACCCAGGAGAAGGGGCACAGAGCAGAAATAGCTTCCCCCAGGTCTGACTCCAAGCCCAGTGCTCACGACACTCTGCATGATCGGTCCTGCAGGGCGACACCCGGCTTGGCTTTAAGGTGGCCTCTGAGCCTTAGCAGGCTTCTCCTGGCAGAAGTCTTGAGCCTTGATGGATTCTTCTTTTTTTTTTTTTAAGATTTTATTTATTTATTTGACAGACGGAGATCACAAGTAGGCAGAGAGGCAGGCAGAGAGAGAGAGGGAAGCAGGCTCCCTGCTGAGCAGCGAGCCCAATGCGGGGCTCAATCCCAAGACCGTGAGATCATGACCTGAGCCAAAGGCAGAGGCTTTAACCCACTGAGCCACCCAGGCGCCTGAGCCTCAGTGGATTCTAATGGGTGGATGTCTTTTTGGAGAGACATGGGGACAGACTGTCCACAGAGCCCAGCCACCGGGGCCCTGGGGGTGCTGTTGGAGTCCCGGGGAAGCATGGGTCTGCCAGCAGAGCTGGGGTTGAAGGGCCATGTCCACCTCACAAGAGAGTATCATTACCGCAGCTGATGAACAGCCTGCACTGGGCCTGCGGTGCTGTCAGACGCGCTCGCTCTGTGTGCGCGTGATCTTCGAGGGCACCCCTCCAAGGATCTTCGTAGCTGACCCCTGGGCTTAACGGAGCCCCTAAGACAGAAGGGTAGGCAGGCCTGCACCCAGAGGGAGAACTTGTGCTGTGTCTGCAGCGTGAACCTAATCCCAGGACCTCCCCAGTCCCCCATGCTCCCTGAGGAACCTCTCCGTGGGCCTGTCGCTACAGGAGAGAAGTATTTTTCCCAGCCAGCAGCTTCATCTCTCTTCCCGCTTAAAGCCAGTGCTCAGCAAGTATAGGGCAAGTAAAGAGGAGGAAACCATTTTTGTTTTCCATGACAATTGTTCTCCAAGGAAAACTTAAAATCACAGACCAAAGGGACAGAGCCTAAATTTGGACCAATGTCTGTCCATCTCCAAAGCCCAGACCCCCTTCTGATTCTAAAGCCAGACCGGCCTGAGGGAGCTCAGAGGGGGCACCCTGAGCAGGGCTGCCCAACTGCCCGCTTTCAAGATTCTACAGACACCTCCTGCCCGCTTTCAAGATTCCTTCTGCCTCTCCCGCGAGGGCCACCAGATTTAGCAAAGAAGACTAGAGGATGCCAGTTCAATTTAAATTTCAGATAAATAGCTAATTGTATTTTTGCAGATGTCCCATGTACGCTCCATGCAAAACTGTGGAGACATAGTGAGGCTAAAAAAAAATTCTTGCCGATCTGAAATTTAAATTTAACCAGGCATTCTGTATTTTATCCAGCAGTACTTCCTGCTAAACACTTCTAAGCATTCATGGGAGAAAGTCAAGGATTGAGGAGGGCCGCAAGGAGAGAGTCCAGGCCGGTTAAAGGTCCCACACCTTGCTGGTGACCGTTCTGATGGCTGCGTCACTCAGTGGGACAGAGGGCAAGACGGGGACTTCTGGTTTCATGTTGTGCCGACACAGCCAGGAGTGTCCTCCGTGTGCTGTGGGCCCAGCTGGCGGGCGACAGCAACTCCAGCTTCCTTTCTGGCTGTCCCTGTTTCCCTGCCTCCTCTACAGGATCACAGCCTGCATCTTCCCTGCCACAACTGAGGTCCTCCAGAGGACCGGGCAGGGGGTGCGGAACAACCACCATGTCTCCTGGCCCCCACAGCATGGAATATTGGGGGAAAGGGGCCCTGTCCTGAGATCCAGTCAAAGCAAGGCTCCATTTCAGCTCAGCCACTTTCTGGCCAACTCCACCCTCCTCGTCTGTAAGGTGGGGATGAGCATAGGGGGTGGAAGGATCAAATTACTTTTGCTTCAGGAGTGAATTACTTGAAAGTTCTATACAAACAGAAGGAGCTCGTTTTTAGTATTCTCTCCATATAGAAACTTTCTTTCCCACGTGTGTATGTGTGTGTGTGCTTAGGTAGGAAATATTTCAGGCATAAAACGTTTCAATATAAGGAGTGCTTTAAAGCTGTCAGAGCCACCTGTCTCTCTCAGTGGTAACCTATTATGGTTGACCTTTGATTTTCAACACGGATATACTGAGAAGTTTTTGGAAAATCCTAAAAGTCTTCAATGTTCCTGGAGATTTTCATTTGCCCCACAAACCACACATGCAGCACCGAGAAATTGCCTTTTTTGCTGCCTGATGTAGCAGTGATCCCGATCCGTCGCTGGGCAACATTACAGGTTACAACTCACTGTGGCCCCTGGAAGTCTCTGTAAGAACTAAAACTGTGAATCTTCCCTGCAGGTGTCAGGAGTGATACCGGCTTTATGGTTTCTGTGTGCACCCTCTGGGCTGCATGTGTGTGTTTCAGAGTTAAGCTACATCTGCGTAGTTTTGCATCCCGCCTTTCTCACTTTTGATAATCTCATGCACATGAGTCCAGGTAGCTGCCTTATCTTAAAAACCACCAATTTTAATGGCTTTCCATCAATTTTAATGGCTTTCCATCAAGGCATCACATTTACGGTTCACCCTTGGCTGGAAGTTTGCTGCCTCTAAGTGGTTTTCAGAGGGTCACCTTGAAGGGGGCATGTGAGGGTGAGCACCAATGTGCCTCCTGTCATCCTTCAGCTCACAAACACACAATCCTGCCAGGGCGGAACCCTAACCTGTCTCAAGGAGGGAGAGTCCAGGGTGAAGAGAATGAGAAATGAAGGGCAGGGCCCACCTTTTTTTTTTTTTTTTAATTTTATGTTATGTTAGTCACCATACAATACATGATTAGTTTTTGATGTGGTGTTCCAGGGTTCATTGTTTGCATGTAACACCCAGTGCTCCATGCAATCCTCCGTGCCCTCCTTAATACCTATCACTGGACTGACCCATTCCCCACCGTCTCCCCTCCAGAAGCCTCAGTCTGTTTCTCAGAGTCCACAGTCTCTCATGGTTCATTTCCCCCTCTAACCCCCCCTTCATTTTTCCCTTCCTTCTCCTAATGTCCTCCATGCTATTCCTTATGTTCCACAAGTAAGTGAAACCATATGATAATTGACTTTCTCTGCTTGACTTATTTCACTCAGCATAATCTTCTCCAGTCCCGTGCATGTTGTTGCAAAAGTTAGGTATTCATCATTTCTGATGGAGGTGTAATATTCCATGGTATATATGGACCACATCTTCTTTATCCATTTGTCTATTGGAGGGCATCTTGGCTCTTTCCACAGTTTGGCCATCATGGACACTGCTACTATGAACATTGGGTTGCATGTGTCCCTTCTTTTCATTACATCTGTATCTTTGGAGTAAATACCCAGTAGTGCAATTGCCAGGTCAAAGGGTAGCTCTATTTTTAATCTTTTAAGGGACCTCCACACTGTTTTCCCAAGCGGCCACACCAACTTGCATTCCCACCAATAGTAAGAGGGTTCCCCTTTCTCTACATCCTCTCCAACACATGTTGTTTACTGACTTGTTAATTTTGGCCATTCTAACTGGTGTAAGGTGGTATCTCAATCTGGTTTTGATTTGAATCTCCCTGATGGCTAGTGATGATATTTTTTCATGTGTCTGTTACCATTTGTATGTCTTCTTTGGAGAAGTGTCTGTTCGTGTCTTCTGCCCATTTTTTGACATGATTATCTGTTTTGTGTGTGTTGAGTTTGAGAAGTTCTTTATAGATCTTGGGTATCAGCCCTTTGTCTGTATTGTCATTTGCGAATATCTTCTCCCATTCTGGGGGTTTCCTCTTAGTTTTTGTTGACTGTTTCCTTTGCTGTGCAGAAACCTTTTATCTTGATGAAGTCCCACAAGTTCATTTTCACTTTTCTTTCCTTTGCCTTTGGAAACGTATCTTGAAGGAACTTGCTGTAGCCAATGTCGAAGAGGTTACTGCCTGTGTTCTATAGGATTTTGATGATTTCCTGTCTCACATTGAGGACTTTCATCCATTTCGAGTTTATCTTTGTGTATGGTATGAGAGAATGGTCGTCAGCAGCAATAGACGATCTGTACATGTATGTGACTGCATCCACTGATTCTGTGCAGGGTGTATGTGTGAGGAGGTAGAGAGAAGTGGGGAGGGGTCCAGGGGCAGACAGAGAAGAGTGTGTGAGCGCTGTGACAGAAAGAGCTGCAGGAGGTAGAGTAGGGGTTACCTCCACAGGCCGGTGTTCAGATGGGCCTCTTTCTTGACCTGAAATCTCTGGTGTACGATCTACCCTTGTGCCCTCAGGGACTAGTGCAGTGCCAGGCCCATGGAAGGTATTCAGTAAGCTTTCTTTGAGCAAATAAAGTGTTTTCTAACTCAAGTCCAGATCAGTGGCTTTGGACAAGACCCAATACCTCAATCTAGATGCTGCCTGGAGCGGTTCTCAACCAGGGACACTTTGATCCCAAATAGACATTTGGCAATGGTTAGAGACTTTTCTTTTTTTTCTTTTTTTTTCTTTTTTTTGGTCACCAGTGGGGATGCTGCTGACTTCTAGTGAGACCAGAGATGCTGCTAAATATTCCACAGTGTGCAGCTCAGCCCTCCCATCCAAGAATTCTAAGCCCAAATGTTAAGAGCATCACTGTTGAAAAACCTTAAAATAAACCCAGAGCACCTGCAGCCAGGATTTAGGAGACTTAGTCTGAGAGGATTTTCTGTATCAAATCATCCTTGGTTCCTGAAGTTGGAACCACCTAGGAGTCCCACCTCAGCCGATGGTTTAGCCTCCAGACCCTTCCAGAGATGACACCTGACAAGGCGGTGGACAGCCCACTTCCAGCTGCCTCCTCCCTTCTGCTCTCTGGTCCTTCCCGCTGAAGCAGGACTGTTGGGCAAACGGATGCTCTCGGTTCCAGGAGCTGCTCAGAGACCCTCTGTACATCGGGCTGAAACACCAACGCGTGCGTGGGAAGGAGTACGATGATCTGCTGGACGAGTTCATGCAAGCCGTGACGGACAAGTAAGTGGGTCATCTTATTCCTTTTGAAAGAGGACTCTGCAGAGATAGAATGACTCAAGTCAACACTGATTTCAGCAGACACACAAACAAGAGGTAAGAAATGCATGTTTCTCTGGGTGGTCTGAAAATTGCAACTTTACCCCACGTCTCTGGCAGACACAAAGCCAGTGGATTTGTTCTGTGGAGAACCTTTGTGAGCCGATAAGAGAAAGAAAAGGGCCAATGATTGAAGGCTCGTGACTGGGCGGTGGTTACATGTCGGATGTCCCAGGAAGAAAACCCCCTTGGCTGAGCTGTTCTGGTCTCCTGGCATGAACAGGGATGTGGTGAGTGGTGGAGAAAAGAAGTGTACCCATCTGACAAACTGGCTTTGGAAGGCAGCTTGCCACATGAGCCATCTTTTTCCACCCGTACGTGAGGACCCGATGGCGTTAATTAGCCATCAGGGAGGCCACATGGGCTGTCGGCCTGCAAGATTTATGAGGTGTCATCTGCGCACTGGTGTATGTGATAATTGGCAGCTTCTGCCCCATCACCTGCCCCGTCTGTCTGCCATCACGGCCACACACACACCCTGCTGTGGCTGGAGTGGCACAGGGATGGAGTTCTGGAAACAGTGCCTCCCCCAACCCACATTTAGTCTGATGGGCAAGTCAGTGAGGATAGAGTTTTGGCAACTCAGCAGGCCCCTGCAGACCCAGCAGGTCCCCTAGTCTCTTGAAAACCTCCAACCTTTCTCACTGTCCCAAGAGTGCCCAGGTCATGGCAGGGCTAGCCCGGTCGTCATTGGCAAAGGCCTCCCTTGACTGCGCTCCTCGGAACAAACGGAAGCAGTAAGCTGGGGAGGGCGCCGCTCCAGCATCTGCAGCTTTGGGGGCAGGAAAATTGGATTTGACTCTTGACCCCACCACATCTAGGTCTGTGACGTCATGGAGCAGGTGACTGAGTTTGTAAGTCTCCTTATCTGGGGATAAGAAGCAAGCATTTTATCATTGTAATGGTTTATTGTTGTTGTTTCCTAAGATGAAAGAAAATAATACTGTTGTTACATGGGATGGGAAGGATCTTATAGAAAAGAAGTCATTAGGAAGGGAGTGTAGGGTAGGGGGGCCAAAGGTCCTGCGTGAGAGGATGAGGATCTGTGCACACCTGGAGGGCTTAGCCTTAGACAGGAGCACAGATGTGTTGGGGTGGGTGGACAGGGAGCAGAGCGCTGGGCACAGGTGCAGGCAGGTGGGGAGATGGGGTGGGGATGTGTGGGAGGCCCACTGATTGAGGGCAAGGTCATCCACTGAGAGGGAGGATAGGGGCGGAGGTGGGGGAGGTTTAAGCCTGGAAAAGGTATGACCCACAGTGTCCAAACTAGGGCACTAGGGGATGATTGCTGGATGGCCCCCTGGGGCCCCCAGATCTGCCCCCCTGCAGATCGCTGGTCATAAATTTAACGATTTCTGTATTTTTCTCTAGCCAGTTTCAAGTGTCTGGATGCAGGACAGGAAGAGGCAGAGAGTAGGATTTTATCAGGGTTGGATTTTGATAGGCAAGAGAGAAAAAGAGAAAAGAATTGTGAGTATATTCAAGGGGCTGATTATGATGATGTGTCCTGGGGTGTATGCTGAGTAAGAAGGGACATGAGGACATTGTGGGCAGGAGAGGGGACCGTGGCATGCATGATCAAGGGATGGTAAGTCCTAATGAGGCTTAGGAATGATTGGGTTGGGTAAAAGGTAAAATGAGCTAGACAGAGAGGAGGTGGCCATCAGGAAGTAAGGTGTTCACAGCTGAGATCATAGGGGAGGCACTGCTACTGAGAAGTAACCACCAAAGCAGCAAACTGAGGGTCAGCTGCATTAATAGAGGCATAGCATCTAGAACAAGAGAGGTGAATGTCACAGTTCATGCTCCTCCTTGCAGACCATCCTCAACACCACATTCGGTTCCAGACTGGCTATTGTGAGGGTTGTAAAGACCTTGTGTGCCATTGGAGAGCAGTCACCATGACAGCAAGGGGAGAGAAAAGCTTAGCCTAGTGGGGAGAGGACTTAAGGACTTCTCTGTCCATATCCAGATATCTGAAAGCTATTCTTCCAGAAAGGGGCTCCTCTCGTTTCCGTGTACCCACAGGGAGAAGAACCAGTTGGTAGAATGGCAAAGGAGGCAGTTTTCAGCTGAAAACAAATCAGAGCTATCTCACAGCACACCTGACTCTCTGTGGGAATGAGTTCTCTGTCACAGAAAGTGTTCAAGTGTAGGTTGTGGGTGGTGCTGTTACAGGAGGAAAGGTAAGCCTCAGAGACTCTTTAAGATGCCTTTCTACCCCGGGATTCTATTCAGACCACACAAGATCCCTGTGGGGCTGGCAAGGATAGGTATTACTGTACCGTTTCATGGAGGAGGACACTGGGGCCCCAGGAGTCTAAGGAACCGGGACTGCAGGGGGATCGTGGGTGCTGGCCACACAGGCAGTCTGCTTTCCACCCTGCTGAGTTCCCTGCGGAGGAAGAGAAGGGGGATGCGATGGGCTTGGAGAGCCCGGTTTCTGCCTCCTGTGCCCCGGGCGCGCTGCAGCTCCAATGAGTCAGAAGTCATTCCACGATTCCCCAGAGAGAAGTCTCGCTCTTCGTGTGAGGAGGTTAGGTAAATGAGTTTGTGAGAAGGGCTCCCATTTATCATCAGAATCAGCTGCCAGTCTCACAGGCAAGCAGGCAGTGGGGAGGTCTGGGGAGGGGCACGCATCAGCCAGGAGGAATGTGTCCTCAAGTGGAAATGATGATGGGTTGACAGCTGCTTGTTTTGACTGTCTAATAAGCTAAAGCAGATGTTTCTGTGGATACTGTAGGTGGGAAATGAGCTGGTCTCCCCAGGCACTCTGGGGAATATTGTAGCCCCAGGATGGACTGCCTGGAAGCGAGAGGATGGGGTATGAGTCAGCAGCCTTGAAGCCAAACACAATGTATTTTAAGAAAGCCCTTCTGGAGATGTTGACTCCTGCCTTCAACTTTCTTGTCTTTTTCTAAACATCCTGCTACTGAGAAGCTCCACCTCCTTGCCCCTGTCCACTAACGGGGCAGAACTTAAGGGTTTTGGCCCAGAGAAAGAGTCACTGTGGCTCCATTACTATCCTGGAGTCTGGCCGCTGGGGAGGGCACACCCAGACAGAAGGAATCTCCGCGGGCTCAGAGCTGAGACAAAGCCTTCGGTTCCCCTGGCTCCCAGGGTGAACATAGTCATTCCGGCATCCCTGCTCTCTCTCTCTCTCTCTCTTTCTGCCCTGCAGAACTGGAACCTGGTGCCTGAGTCACACACTTTCCCTGGCCCTTTCCACTACCATGTGTTTTTTTTGTTTGGGTTACTTACAGTAGAACTGATGGGAACAGTCTGTTTTCCATTTGTACCTGTGGCCTTAGCCCCGTCTGCTGCCTGGACAGAGGGTGAGGTCAGCAGCAGCTCCTGCCTTTCCATGGGCTCAGGAGGGAAGCCACCCCCTTTCCTCTGGCTCCCAACCCTAAAATAGAGGTTCCTAAGGTGCTGGGAGGAGTGATAAAAAAGAAGGTAAATGATAGTTTAAAAAATAATAACAAACCTGACTTTAAAAAAAAATCATCTGCTTTTTAGCACCAGGAAAATGTTCTTTTTCAGTCTCTGCATCTATATATGTCTGGTTCTCTCTCTCTTTCTCTCAGTCTCTCTCAATCTCTCTCTGTCCTTCTTTGTCTCTCTCTCTCTCTCTCAGAGACACACAGACACACACACACACACACGTGCACACACCACCCTACATTTGATACCTGAAGTTCACACCAGAGTAAGACTGGCACAATAAAATGTCCACCACATTCCACTATGAAAGATCCTACAAGATCACAGATCCTACCAGATTCCAAGAGGTGGGAGAACACAAGACAAAAATCCCAGGAGGCATGGTCTATGGGGCATCACTGTCCCCTTGCAAACCCAACATCTTTTCATGTGACAACATTTCTTTAAAAAAACAAAAAACAAAAAACTTTCCCTATCTCTATTTTTGTTTTGTTTTTTTTTTAAGGATTTTATTTATTCATTTGACAGAGATCACAAGTAGGCAGAGAGGCAGGCAGAGAGAGAGGAGGAAGCAGGCTCCCCGCTGAGCAGAGAGCCCAATGCGGGGCTCGATCCCAGGACCCTGAGATCATGACCTGAGCTGAAGGCAGAGGCTTTAACCCACTGAGCCACCCAGGTGCCCCAACATTTCTTAATACAAAAATGAGAAAGGGAGACTCTCCCAAAGATAAAAAAAAAAAATTACTAGATTGCTCCAAGATCCACCCACTGATACTGACTTGTTAAGAGGCTACCCATCCAGCCCCCCTGTGCTTTGCTCTTGGAGCCAGAAGGAAGCCTTAGATGGCTTCACCTGCCACCACTGGCTCTCTTGCTCCCTCAGCCTCTGTCATGTCCCCCACATGTCATTTTGTGAGAGCTGCACGCAGAGACTTTACACGCTTATTTCCCTAGTCTTGAATGTCCTTCCATTTTCTTTTTTTTTTTAAAGATTTTATTTATTTATTTGACAGAGAGAGACACAGTGAGAAATGGCATAGAAGCAGGGGGAGTGGGAGAGGGAAAGCAGGCTTCCTGCTTAGCAGGGAGCCCGATGAGGGGCTCCATCCCAGGACCCTGGGATCATGATCTGAGCCAAAGGCAGATGCTTAACTACTGAGCCACCTAGGCAACCCCATCCTTCCATTTTCAGGGCTGTTTCCTTCCAATCGATTCAGGCTTGGAGATGGGTCCACACCCAGGCAGCAGGGTCGCACAAGGCAGGATGTTGGTGCTGAGAGTCCTGCAGGAAACTAGGAACCTTCCGGGGGCTACTCCGCCCTCAGAGAAGAGCCAGGCTCTGCTGGGCAAGTCCGGCAAACGACAAAGAGCTTGTGTGGGGAAAGAATGTCTCTTGGAAGAAACCAAAACACGAAACCTTCACCACGTGTAGATTTAGGGTCTGCATTTATAAGATACAC